TTCTTCTGAAACATAGCTCTAAACAATGTTTAATTAGTTTACATTAATTTGAGACCTGGGTTAATTAAAATTAGATTCCTTTAAAACAGGTAATTGAATTTGCATCTGAAATACATTAAACTGTCATTTAGTCAAAAATGCCAAATCTGCAAATGTCAAAATGCCGAAAGTGCAAAATCTTAATTGTCTTGACCATTTCTGTGGGTCAGTCTCAAGGGGGGCATCAGCTCTCTGCAGCTTCCTTTGCTTCTCCTCTCTGACACTGCTCAGGGGTATTACTCCTAAGCAGTGAGCCCTGTGCTTGTGTCCTGCTTCTTCTGAACCAAGGAAAACCTGTAGCCCAGCACAGTCCCTTTACACAGCATTAGCTCTCCTCTTCTGACAGTTCTGTGATCTGAAGTTCTGCTCTGAACAAAACCTGCTTTGGAAAATTTCATACATGGTGAACACTGGAAGAAATTTCAGTCTGCAGAAATCCAAGGGTCTCAAAGTGTTAAAAAAATTCTTAAATCTTGCATTTAAAATTTCAATTGTATTAATAATCACTCAGACTTGCATCTCATTGAGAAGCATTTTTGTGCTTCTGGTGCTGTTACTGCATCCTTTTGTCTTTTAATGATATACACAAAAGATTACTTTACATTAGTAAGCTTTCAAACAACACCTAATATAGATGTGTAGGCATGTGTGTTCACCATTTGAAAAATCTAATTATTTTACATAATAATAATAATGCACCAGGCCCACGATCCTTTTTCTCTGCAGAGAGTGGAATGCCTATTTTCATAACAACAAGTCATGTGGGTATTTACAGTGTTAGCCTGGCCAGGGTAGCTCATAGAGACCATTGACTGTAATCCTCTGAAGAACAATCTCAAATGTGAATATGTATAAAAAGGCAGATGGTACCAAATACTTTTGCAGTTTAACTCCAACATGCAAACTCTCACTATCATGGGCTGGGGTGTGAACCTCTACTTTGTCATCCTTGCAGGTGGAACATGAACAGAATTTAAGTGAGACATAACAGAAAGGATGAGTACTTGTGACTAACACTTGCCATTCATCATCCTATAAGGATCTTATATTTCACTTTTTGTCTTTGTATCCCACCCTGTTGAACCAAACCAATCACTAACACTTGGGTTCATGTTTAAGATTTTGGCAGTCCATTTTTCTCTGTGATGACAAAATCAGCTCTCTGCCCTGTTTTACAGTAATGTAGTTCCAAGATGCATGATGATAGACTGGTAACAGTGCAGATTCCTCCTCTGACCCTCTTGCTGAATTGTTGTGTGATGCTCCCATCAGCTGTACTGCAGGTGCTGGAGAAAACACATCACAATGTGTGTGAGGCACATGAGGAATGTGCACTGCAGAAAAGCCTGACTCCTTTTATTGAACTCTAGGGTATTTGTAAGTGTGGGCAGTGCAGGAAAGCTGAGTCAGCCAGATCTGGATTTGCAGCATTATTGAGGACACAGTAACTTCATTTGGAGTTGTGGGCGTTTAATAACCTTGAAAATAGAACTGCGTGAAATGCTATTTGAGGTGTGAGGCTTTTATGTCTGCTGAAAGAAAACCTGAAGAAATTACACTTTGTATCTAGAGATAAGGAGGAAAAATTGCCTTCTGTTTTTTCTTTGAAAGTCTGTTTTTCATCAGTGTGTCAGAGTGCTCACTCTGAGCAGAATTAGTTTGCCTGTGAGAGGGATGGGAGGGTGTTTAAGTGATATTGGATATAATGCTGCAAACCACTGGGCATTAAGAGGAGTTGGATGCTGAATCAAGTAATTGAAGCCTAAGGAGAGGCCCACCTTCCACTTCTATTTTGGTTGTGTTCAAAATCTCCCCAACAAAGGGTTGCAGTGGCTAATGTGACATAACCTGAGGTGTCATTTAATTACTTTTAACAGTGGGCACCCAGTTGGAGTCACTCTCATCTTTAGTGACAGGACAGGTATTGATCACTGCTCTTCATGTTGGCTGAACTGGCTTAAGGTGAGTCTCCATTTTTTTGTTCTTATGCAGTTTGCTTTAGGGAATAGCTGGAATACTACATGTACAGGAGTGTCTTGCATCCCCTGTATAACCCCCTGGCCTGTACTTTGGTTAGGGTAATGTAAATCCTGTTTCTAGCCATCTGTGACTCACCAGAGTGCAAAAACATGATGGGATTTTGAATGCTTCAGCCTAAACTACTCAAGATAACACCTTGTTGTGACAGGTCTTATCAAGATGGTAAGAGATATCCATTGGCAAGACCTGGACACCCCGCAGTGCCATGGGGCACTGGGCCAGCACATTGTGGTGAGGGCTGACTTTGCTAAGGGTAAACTGTGTAAATTAACTGGAAGTATCTGTTGGGCTTCTTGATGCACTGCAGTTTGCTTTCAGACATTTTCCTGAAGCAGAGCACACTTGTTTAGGCCATTGTTAGTGGTCATCAGCCACTCCTTGATGTGGATAAACCCATGGTGAGAACTGGTCACAGCCAGAAGAGAGACCAGTTTTCAGGTACTGCTAGATCTTGGTGACCAGTCCCTGGAAACTCTCATGTTTATTTCCATGTCTCTTTTTGTTTCAACTTATTTTGTGGAGAGAAAGTATCCATAATGCAATAAATGAGCCATGAGCAACCTCAATTCCTCCCTTCTTTGGCAGGAAGTCAGCAGCCAAGGCTATAAACTAGAGTTTGAAGAGTTTGTTCAAATGCTTTGTTTACCTCTCTTCACTCAGTCAGGAGCTTTTGTAACTTGTATGAAGGATCCCTCAGGCTGGGACAGCTGTGGGCCTGAGTGGCTGATGTATGTTTCCTTCAAGCCAAAGGGACTCAGTCCCCAACCAAATGTTTTTAGCTGTTATTTATTAGGTTATTACAGTCTTTTTATGTAAGCCATGTGTTTCAGTAGGCAGACATGAAGAACACTCCTCAAACCATGAGTTTCAGAAAATGTACATCTCAAACTAATTTTACTGTATGCCCCATCATTCTTCTGCTACTGGGGGCAGCAAACAATCATTCCCATCTCTCATGCCCTGTGTCCCTGCTTCAATAAGGCTGCCTCTCTTCTCCTCACCAGCCACCTCTTCTGAGCCAACTCTTGTCTTCATTCCCTCCCTACTGTGTTCAAGCTTCTCCCTGTGTTTGATCATCTCTGTGTCCCTTTTCTAGTTTATCCTCTCCGAGTTGGAATGACCCAAACCATGCACCCTGTTCATTGAATAAATGGTTTTCAAATGGTGTGACTGTGTCCTGTTTTGTTACTTACTCCTTTCTTCGTGCTTTTTTAGCATTCTGCTGGGATTTGTCTTTGTGACCCCGCTGACAATGGAGCTGGTGATTGCAAGACCTACCCAGGCCTCTTTCCTGATAAAGAGATAATTGCACATTCAGAGCCTGTCACTGTAGATACATACTTAGAGATAATTTTGTGCCCAGACACATTATTTTGCACTTATCAGTGCAAACATTTTGTCATCTTCTCACTTTATATTATGTGTATCTAAGATTTAAGTCTTAGCTGTCGGCATTAAAAGTTATTATTCTGCATAATTTTGTCATGGCATTATTCAGTGCTCTGTCAGGTAGTTTGTGACCAGATTGAACCTCATGAAGTCCCAAAGCACATCTCTGAATGGGATCCTGCTGGTTAACTGCTGACAAAATGACATTTATTCCCCATCTCTAGACATGAGAGGAATATTCCTTCTACCTACTGATTGTTTAGCTTGCAGGATTGTACCATTTACCCTTTTGTATCTCATAAACAACTGGTTTCCCTTTTAGTATGTTGGAAGGCATCAAAAGGATAGATCAGCTTTTTCTTTGGTTAGTTTCAAAAACCCTTTCACTGTGCTTGGAAATGAACCATATGATCCCTGTAAGTATCAATTAGGTTTGCTTTTTTTGTGCACAAAATCTCTCCTAATCTGTGTCGTGCACATATTTTTTTACAAATGGGCAATTCTGACACACATCTTGTAATAACAGGCAATATCAACTTCACAGTTTTTCATCCCATAGGCAATATGAGCAACATGAGCAAATACAAATGTTTAAAATGGACATTTCTGAGACTTTAAAATACATTTAAATTCTGATAATTATGAAAGTGACTTTTTAATTGCTCAGACTCTTTAATCACCACTGAGTCAGGGATTGCTCTCTTATGTAGAACATAGGGGAATTTCATGTAAGATGAGAAGTTAATTTTTATTCTTATGGCATTTTTGAACAGAATCTGACTCATACCTCCCTTTAGTTTTTGCTCAATGTTCAACAAAAAGATGAATGTTTTTTATGAGGGACTATAAGCTTTTGATTGTCCTGCTAAGCAGCAGCTGCAAAATCCAATGCAGTTTAGTGTGTGACAAAGCTGAATGTCATGCAGTAACTCATTTGAATAGGAGCCAAGCCAATATTCCTTACTGGGGAAACATGCTCACTAAAATGTTTTTATGGAACTAGGATGTCAGATTCATGATGGAAATTTGGAAATGCCTGTTTTGGGTGCACTGAAAATGAGTTGTTCAGATGAACAAGCTATTTATACAGACATGTGGTCAATACTGGATACTGGTTTAATCTTCTAGTAATCCAGACATTACCATATGGACAACCTGCACAGATTGATCTGATGAGGCCTCACTGGGTAAATTAATATCCTGCTTCTGTTAATTTGCTAAGCTTTTATGTTAGCTTTTATCAGGAGAAAAAAACATGCTTTCCAGCACATAGTTTATTCACAGTGACATATAAAATGAGACTGATGACAATCGACACAGGTTTAAGGCAGCTTGTTTGACAAGCAGCTCATGATGGTTTGGACAGTTATCTGGAGGGCTTTCTTTCCATACTTCATTGTTTGCAGCCATTGCACAGCCTTTCCAATGTGGAACCACCTTTGCACAAACATATCAGAGAATGCATTCAGTTTTCTCTTGAATTTTGCTTTCAGTGATGTACCTGCAGTAATTTTGTTTAATACCATAATGGGTTATTTAGTTTTGTTATCAACCTCTGCTTTCTCAATCTTCTGTCCTGTGAGGAACTGCCATATTCCTCCTCTGTAGTTCTCATTTCCCAGGGCATATACAAAGGCATCCACCGTTGGCACAGTCTTGGCAACGAGAGCAGGAATCTGTCATGAGACACAATATTTATTACTAGGAAAATTGAGAAGCCAGTGGGCTGATGTCAGCCTATGTTTAGTTTCCCTTTACCAAAAAAAGGCCTGTCTCCAATAGCATTAGCTTGCTACTCCCAGACAGGGGAGAAGTAAAAGCAATTTGGCTGGTGGGAAGACCTACTCAGGAAATTACAATTTCCAGGAGAAAGAGTTTAGGTTGGCATTTCCTGAAACAGGGCTCATTCAGTTGAGAGTGAACACCAACACTTAGGAGGAATGAAAGGTGTGCCATGGACATCTTTGGATGGATAAACAGGCTGATGTTGGCAACCCATTTAATGTGTGACACTGAATACAGTAATGCATTTGGTGATCTGAAACTGGGCTGATTTGGGGGCATGGAATGAAAGTTGAAAGGTTTGATGTGATATTACTGAATCCCAGCAGTGGCTTTGGAGCCAAGACTCATAGAAGAAAGGGGAAAAAGGAGGCAGCAGAGCCTTAGGAGTGAACAATTGCAGCTTCCCTGAGGAGAGAGAAGTATTAGAAATATGAATGAGACAACCAGTCTCTTTAAAACTGAAAATTCTGAGCTAGTACCTCCCTCTGAGAAGGACACAAAAAGCTCCTACATGGCACAGAACAGTACAGGTTCAGTACAGGTTACACACCCCTAACTAACTGCTGAAGAAAAATACCCCTGACTTCCTAAATTTTGGCTTGATCAGAGCAGTATTGCAATGCCTTTTATATCACTGTGCTTGCCTGTTTTCACTAAAAATGGTAGATGAACAGAATGCTTTGAGGAAAAGGACTACTTCTTGTATATGTTTTTACAAATGAACCCAGTAGTGAGCAAATTGGCAATGTTCCACAGAGACAGAGAGAGGGGAAGGAGGAAATGTTACTTTGGGGTCTGGGGGGCACCCACGTACCATGCGGTATTTTGGTGGGATGAACATCACATTTTCCACTGCTGCATAGGAGCACAGGAGGCAGTAGGGACCCCAGCAAATGACCAGTGTCTTCAGTGGCAAACCAGTATTAAACTGGAAAACAAGAGCAATAGGTTTGTGTTTCACAATCACACACTGCAACAAATGGATGGCAGAGGTCCTGTGGGATTGTGGTTTGTGTTCAGTAGCAGGAGAGGATCAGCCAACAGGACATGGGACAGAACAGTGCAGCAGCACCAAAGCCCTGATCCTGGGCGTGGGTGGGGAGTGACAGAGGTGACAAAACACCTTATGGTAGATCAGATAAATCTGTGTGTGCTAGATATAGAAGCCGTGGCCAGTAACTCCTCCTGAGGGGAGAGAGCAATTGAAAATTTAAGTGAAAGTGAAGCAATTGAAAATTAAAGTGAAAATTTTAAAATTATTTAAAATAATTCCTTTTAAATTTCATTTAAAATTTAAAAGGAATAATATTTTGCTGACTTCCTAGATGGTCTTGCAGACAAACTGTGTCAAGGCACTGCTATGCTGGTGCAACAAATGGATGCAGTAGCTGTGTTGTGGTAGGAGCATTTCTCTGTCCTTTATGCTGGGACCTATCCATAGTGTACATGGCCAGCTGTTCCCAAGTATCTTATAAATTTTAATGACTAAGGAAGTGATAATTTCATCCTTAAATTTTCTGCATGGTAACTTGTCTGCACAGCTACAGAGAATCATGAGAAAGAAATCACATGCTAGTGCATACAAACTCACTGGAAAAAAGTAATAGACATAATAATGAACACTGAGCTTTGTTCAAGAAATATATAGAGGGCACAAGTATTAATTCCAGTCAGCTACAAACAAGTCTGCCTGACTGTCAATATAACATTTCTCTTGAGATCTGACTGTCTTTACTGAGTGCAGGGGTTGGGCTGTGCCCACCAGCCATGCATAGTGCCCCAGACTGTACAGCCTGCACCTCAGCAAACAACTCATATAATCACCACATTAGATTCCCATAAACCTGCCACACTGGAGCAATTCCTTTGTTTCCAGCTCATAAAGATTTCTGACTTTCCTCAGCCAAGTGTTAACACAATGTGTATGGGAAGGCCCTTCTCCCCCCATGGGGTGCCTGCATGTTTCCTTGCAGAGCTGTACTTCTGTCTGACTTCCTCAGCCATAAGACAAAGGCCTGTAGCAAAGCAAGAAATAACAATCCTTCCTGAGATAAATTTCCCTGGATAAAAATTGATATGCTATTGGTAAATATTCTGTATGCTCTGTGTTTGTTTTTTGAGGAGAGATGGACCAGTATTGATGGAGGGAAATCTTAAGGAATGCTGGTCCAACTTCCTCTTTGATGTGGAGCTGTTTACAGCACAAGGTTGGGGCAAATGGTAAAATGCTGCCATTTCCAAGGATGGTGTTTCCATGAACTTTCTGAATGGCCCCATCCTGTGTTGCACTGGGGAGTTAGGACAGAAGGAGATGAGTCAACGTCTTTGTGGAAGAAATTTGTTTTTTTCAAGGACTTTGTCTCTACTGAAGGCAGCCCTGTTTTATCATGGTGATTTCAGGGGTTCAGGGAGCTTTCTTACCTTGAAGTGCCCAGTTTTCCTGAACTTTTGGTGTATGGACTGATAGGCTGTCAGCATGATGAAGCCTGGGATCATGAAATTGAAAGTGGACAGAGCAAAAAGGAATGTGACATAGTTTCTGGGAAAGGTGAGGAGGGAAGGAAAAAAAGAGGGTGTTAATTCAAGTCTAGCGCATTTATGTAAACTTGCTGTAAGTATTTACCAAGTTGTAATTTAAAAATTGCTAAAACCACTTTTGTCAACATGCTTCAGGTGCAGCATTTGCTGAAGGCCAGTTAAGCTGTGCCATGCTATTGTGTGTGGGATGGATAGTCTTGTAGAAAATCACAACAGGTATTTGTATTCTAAACCCAAACACCACTACTTGGACATCAGTGCTGGCCTGCATAAAGCCAAAAGCTTTATGAAAATATTCTGAAATTATTATGAAAATATTATGAAACTATTCTGAAAGAGTTTCAAGCCCTAAACCCAGAAAAGATGCAGTGCATAGATGAGTGAGGGAGTGGCAGAAAGCTGAGCACCAGGCTCTCCCACAGAGGAACCTGAGTTTAGCTGTTCTGTGTGCCACCATGGGAGCCCAGGCAGCCTGGGGTGATGCCTTGTCCCAGCTGCTGGGGAGAGATATCTGCCCCAGGAACAGTGCTGGGCACAGCTGAGGGGTTTGTGTGCCACCAAGGCCATCCTAGGGGATGGCAGCCTCCACTCTGCTCCTGTGGGAGCTGGCCCTGGCCCTCACCTGTCCCCTTTGCTGTAGTCCAGGGTGCAGCAGGTTCGGAGGGGTTCGTAGTCGTATTCTCCCCACCCCAGTAAGGGCATCACGGACCAGAAGGCAGCAAACAGCCATGCAAACACCATCATGGAGGCAGCTGTGCTCCACTGCAGCCTGCTCCCTGTGGGAAGAGGAAAGGGGATCTCCATGCCCTGAACAAAACCACTGGAAACAGCTGTCAGGCCCTTGGGCCTCAGGCAGAAACAAGCAGTTGTTTGTGCTTTGTATCCTGAAGCTGACCTGAGTCTGGAGGAATCAGTCTTCCATAAAATATGAAGGAAGCTTTTAGGAAACAGCAAACTGCACTTCCCTTTTGTGTGTTTTACTTAGACAAGTGCTGTATTGCTTGCTCAGCTTTGTACCACACTGGAGATACAGCTGCTGTTACAAACATTATATTCTTGTGTTTTGGGAATGTGTTTAAAGACACAGATGAGGCAGCAAGTACAATGAACAGGGTGATGCAATAAACAGTGTTTGAAGAAACTGAGTCCCATTGCAGAGTGTGGGGCAGGTCAGAAATGTGACTCTGCACACACTCCCCAGCCCCTGCCCTCTTCCTTCCTGCCAGGCCAGGAGGGTGTGGATATCTCATATATCCTGTTCTAAAATTACTGGTCATCAATAAACATATGTGAATATATATACAACCTGAGAACAGAGCTTGTTCTAAAAATACTACTGGACAAGTAATTTTGTCCTTAAGATCATCACTTAGCCTATAACAGGAAATGTGAAGCTCAGAATTAGTAATTTTTTTTAGTAATTTTATAATAAAGTGTTCTCTTGTGCCTATCTCATCCAGTTCCATCAAATACTATAGAAATGTAATGGAAGATTGGAAACTTGAGAAGACACAGGAAGTATTTCTTCATGGAGAAGGCAGGCAGGCTTCCTTGCTGCTGCAGGATGTTGTGCCAGCCCCACTGCTGGCATGCAGAAAGGTCTGGATAATTTTGTTACTGAGGCCATTGTCTCTCATCATGCCCACGCTGGGCAGCCCGTGATGCCAGCAGCACCAAGCAAGGAGAACAGTGACTTTCCCCAGCACTCCTTCCTAATCCAGTCTCCCATTAGGGACAAGTAATGATGCAATTTTCACTGAGGTTGGGAAGCAATCTTTTTGTCTGCCCTTAGACAGCAGCATCATGACAGCAGGCAGGAAGATTCAGGCCAATTCTGATCTGTCCCTGAGAGGTGAAGGACTGGGGATGAGGTGCATTTATTTTTAGACCTGGTGAAATCAGCTGCTGGTTGACCCTTCAGAAATATTTACACACACATCAGAAGTAGCTAAATATGTAGGAATGTAAAATTAAACAAGCTTGAGATTGTTTTAGTTTTACTCAGAAAAAACACTTTCAGTACAAGGACAGTGAAAAAGTTGTGCTGTCCTCACGTGGCAAAAATATCCTCCCCTGAGAAGGCTGCACAATTTGTTCAGTTCAGATGTTTTTGTGCACAGCAGGCCATTGCTTTACCTTAAATGCCTTTTCTTGGCCTCATAAAATTTGATGTAATAGCTGTGTAGGTCCCAATTCAATTAAATGCATGTGTATGGGGTTCAGCATATGCTTACAGATAGAATTCTTAATTAGGGCCCTGTGCTGGCAGTTTGGTCCTATTAAGTCCAATCACTCTTGTGCTTTGGTTTTCTCTCTTTGAAAAGCAAAAGGGAAGCCTCTCTTTTCCACACAGTGAAATAGTAATACAGGGAATTTTAAATGATTTCTCTAATTGCTTTGGAACAGAAAGACTGCTCCATCATCAGTCAAAGATTACTAAAATTGTGATGCCAAAAGATGAACTTCTAGCAAGTACTAGATAGAGCATGGAACCTTATCCTTTTGATCATGAAAGCCAGTTTTTAGTGATATAATCATAACTATATCTCAGGGTTTAGTTTTTGGAAGCATTTATGAATGTATTTTTGTAAGATTTATGATTTATTCATTTAGCTGATTTTCACAGACTGAAAAATACATCTCTGACACTGGGCCACCTTTCAGCTAGATTTCAGTCTGCTGTTCAAAAGGAGTGTCTGAAATAAAAGGTCAACAGGATTTTCTATGATGGAGGGGGAAAATAGTCCCTTTTTCTCATTCCTGCAAATGGTTAAGTTATAATTGCTGTATAATATTAAATTATAATATATACCAGGACAGTAAATGGCCTGTACCAAACTTAATGGCATGCATCATTTAAAATTAGCTAAGTTTGTCAAAGACAGAAATATCTGAAAATCTGACAAGGAAAAATATATATCAGTCATAAATGAAAGAGGTGTTAGCACCTACTTCATCTGCAGTAATCACCAGTCACTGGTGCTCACAAGAATTCAGTTTTTGTAGGAATAAGAAATAGTTTATTTTATGCATATCATTATAAAAAGCTCTTTAAAATAACCTCATTAAGGGATTTTTTACTCCTTTTTCTTTTTTTTATTTTGCTGTGGTTCACCATCATCTTAGACTGTCTTGGTGGTTAGCTCCTGCTTCAGTGAAAAACACAAGATGTGTAAAAACATCAACATTTTGTCAGAGAAAACTGATACAGGTGCAAAGCTAGATGAGGGGAATGCAGTCAGTGTGACAGGAGTTTAGGACTTCCTCCTAATTTGACAGAATTGACACTGCAATTTTAGCAAATGGTAGAGTGGTAATCTTTGAATACTGATATAACAACCCAGGTTACCTTGGTTGTTAAGGATTAGGTAAAAGTCACTGTAATTCTACTTTTAGAAATTGAATGCTGCTGTGAAATCCCTGCTGGTTTTGTTTTTCTTCTCTTTTATAATATTGAGAGAAGTACTGATATAACTCACTTCAGATTTTCTGTTTCCCCCTGATTCTGAAATGCAAGTTAAAAATTTTATATTTTTTCTTTCCTTTTAAATCTATAACTTTACACTATGAACTGACCAGGATCCTTCTCCTCTTCCCAGACTTCTAATGGCAGTGTGAATGGCCAGAGAGGAACTGACAATGTCTGCCTTGCTCTAAACTGTCACCTTCTGTCCTGAACACCTGGCTGCTGAGACACAGCTTCCTCAGAATCTGCCCTTTTCTTCTTCACTGTCAGGCACTAACATATAACTACTTCTGCTTTCTCCTTTTCCCCCTAATGATGAAATTTTAAAATCTTTTTTTCCCATCTTGCTAGGGATTGGCATTGATACCCTCCAGACTCCCCTGCTATCTCTCCTCTTTCATACTTTTAGGTTCTTTCTCTAAAAAAATTCTTTGCTGTGAAAGTAGCATTTCATAGACCCCAGAGCCACACTTAGGGGATGAACAGCATTGCCCAGTGTGCTTGCCTAGAAGTAAAAAAAAAAAAAAAAACAAACAAGAGAGGGGAGAGTAAAATATCCTGACTTTCTCTGTCACATGGGGTGATAATACTATTTTCTTCCATATCCCAAGCAACATCAACCTGATTTCTTCTGAGTGACTTGTCTGTTATCAATACACTTTAAAGGTAGTGCTTCGTCACTTAGGGCTGTGCTGACTTCCAAATCTAAAAACCTGGTCAATTTTCAGAATGTTAGTGAAGAAATTGGTGATATTAGCATCCAGAATGGTTGTAAAGTCCCAAGTTATCCTATCATCATAGTAATCTCGTACATTCTCATCAGCTCTTTCTTCCCAGAAATAGGGATAGTGAATAATCAAGTGCCAAGCTGAGGAATGCCACAATTAAGGTTTTCTTGGGAAACTGTTAGGATGTAACAAAAAACTGGGAATTATGTAATTGAGCTTGGAAAGAGTACCAGATCCTGGGGAATGAAGATAAAAGGCTGATAGCTTTGTATTTTAGGTAAAGGTATTTTGTACCTTCTGTACAGGCATGCAGCTCACACCAGTGTCAACAGGAGTTTAATGTATGGATTGAGAACACAGCATAGCCTGTGGGCTTGCTGTAGCACATCTATGAAATATGACTTAATCTTCCTTGCAATCAGCATATGAAGAATTGAACTAGAAGGGGCTGGTTTTCCTGGAATAACCACAGGGCATGAGCACCTTCTGGGTTTTTAGTTTTGTTGTTCAAAATGTTTGCTTTAGGAGCCATGTTTGGCCATCAGTAAGTAACAATTTGAGCAAAGTAAAGAAGCTTGTGCCCTTAGGGTCCTTCTGTCCTCTTAATGTAGTATATGTTCTTGACTGGAGGAGTGCATGACACAAAAGCATTAAAGCCAATGTAGGCAGAGAGTAAAATGTCTTTCCCAGAGATGCTTATTTTCAGGCTCTCTCTTGTAAAATACAGATGCTCCTCTTCCAGCTCCAAATGCATTTCAGTGTCCAAGGGGTGCTAGTATGGATTTAGCTCACAGCCTGCATTATTTGGGGCCTTTGTCTAGACATGAAAAAATACATTTCTTTGCCTGAGCCTTGATTCCTGCAAAAATTGCAGAGCAAAAAACATTGGCAGCCTTTCCTCAACAGGATCATCAGACTGACCATATTCCCTGTGTGCTTTGGGTGTGTTTTGCCATTTGCTGCTGGGATCATATGGAGGCTCTGTGGGCAAAAATAAGTCTCTTGCACCCCAAAATGCCTGTGTGTTGCACAGAGGGGCTGCTGAGCTCTGTCTGCCCAATCATGCCTCTGCACGGGCTCTGTTGCAGGCACTGTTTCTGCAGAGGCAGCTCTCTGCTCACACCAAATTTATCTGTCATTAGTAAACTCTGCATGGACATGATGATCTGTTGGGTACACAGCAGGGTGTTGGATGAAAGCCCCAGATGAATAGATTTTTCTTCAATAAGAGGAATTGGATTTTATTTGGGATTTTGTTTTAAAGTTTACTTATGGATTTAAAGAAAGCATGGCAAGAGGGTCACAAATTGGATGTGATCAGGACAAGGAAATATCTCCTGAAGGTGGTTGATAATTTCCCCTGTATGGGAAGAGGTCCTTTGGAGAAACTGTTTATATTTGCTGTATCTAATGTGTAAGAAAAACAAACTTATTTATAAGATACACAAATAATAAGTATGTGCTTGCTTTGATTCTCAGAAACCTGAGCCAGCTGCCTTTTGCAGCCCGTGGGTAAGGTTGGAGGGAAACTGCAGCCCTTACTTGTACAGTAGTGATGGTATCGGTCCCAGGCCACGGCAGCGCTGGAACTAATGCTGGCCAGGGCTGTCAGGAAGCCATGGAATCCATGGATTTGACAGCCATCAGAGCCATAGGGCCAGTATCTGTCAACAAACAAGGAATATGTTAAGGAAATGATAGAGAAAGGTAAAGGCATGTTTGGAAATTGCATTAACAGAGAGGGTAAAATGATAGCCTGTGCTTCTCCTGAGGATCTGTCTGAGAAACACTGTGAAAAATGTTACTGTGCTTGATTTTAGGCATTTGTCAGCATTTTCCTGCTGTGGTGTCTCTTACAGTACAACAGCAACTTGTACTCTTAATACTGAGAAGAAAACAGAACCCTGCATCTGTGTATTGAAAAGTTGGGGTTTTTAAATTTGAAATCTACATTTCATTCAATTATACAGATCTTCAAGATTTGCCTCCTTTGTGAGGAGCCAATTTGTCAGTGTGCAAGTCAGTGCAACACAACAAACAGATAAAGACTTGCAGACAAATTTAGGGTCAATCTAGCAGTTTAGTAAAGTGATATTTTGATATTCAAGTAGTTTCTATAACCCCTAGTAAAGCTGTCTGGCTAACTGTCTTCTTTAGTCAGTCTTATAATCTGTCAGTGATGTTATGCAGTAAAATCTGCTTTTCTACTTGCCCAGTAGAACCATGTAGGATTTTGTTTTGTTGTTTCGGATTGAGGGAAGGAGAAGTTTGGCTATGACTTATGGTAGAAAGAGAGCCATTGACCTCTTAGAACTTAAGGTGCTAATTTCCATGTGGCTCTCCCAAGCATGCTTTAGGAAAACCTCTGTGCCATACCTGAGGAAGCTGGAGAAGGCAGCAATGAAGGCATTGATGCAAATCCCGCAGTCGGCCAGGGCGATGCTGAGAACCAGCAGATTGCTGGGCGTCCGCAGCTCTTTGATTTTGCGGAAAGAAATAATTGTCAAGCCATTCAGGCAGAAACCAAGCAGGGCTGAAAGACAGAATTGTTTGCTGTGATTCAACTAGAAATTGAAAATAACTACAATGATACTGCTGTTTTCTTTGATGAGAGAACAATAATTACAGTGCAATCTTATACACAGGGAATAGATCTGTAGTGGTCAGTCTGCACGCAAGTTACAAAGGCTTTCAGAAGAGAACTCATAGGTGACAGCTCAAGGCACTGCTTCAGACTTCTTCAGTCATGGGGAGCAGAAGCAGTTTGATCTTATTTGTAATTCTGCCTTTTGTTAAAATAAGAGGAACTGGATTGTTAGGCTCCATGCAGGGACACATGGTTCAGGGTTCAGAGCAAGATGCAGAGGAGGCAGTTTCAAGAGAGCTGACAGCCAGCATATGCTGCTGGTGTACACGTCAGGCCTGAATTTGCTAGAACAATGGTTTGTATTTAATATCCATTGTAACATTCCTTTTTGTTTAAGCACAGAAATCCCTCAGCCATGTTTCAGTCAGCCTGCCTCCCTTTGGGCTTCTGTCTCAGGGTAGCCTACACAGTGCTTGAATTACACCAGCTCAATCTTATTACTGTCCCTTGTCAACAGACTATACATGGAAAGGAATAATCTAATTATGAAAAGCAGTCACTGATAGATTTAAAAAAATAAGTTTATGTTGTTCTTCAGGGAGGGATCCAAGCAACCCAAGCTATTCACCCAGCACAGAGCTGTGCCACTCTGAAGCCCATCCTTCACTGGTTTAAACTCAAGCTTTGTCCTTTAATGCCCTTTTCAAGGCGACCTGAATTATTTTAGCTCTGATGAGGATCTGACTCAACATCCAGTCTCTAAGTCTCAGTTAGATGAGAGGCACTATGTCTTTGTGTTCTTCTTGGAAAAAGAAATGCTGCAGCACAGAAAAAATCCATATCCCCTAATCTGTAAAGTAGTGTAGTTACTTATGCTTATTGTCTTAATTCTGCAGTTACATAAGATGGATGATTTTTTTTTCTAGTCAGAAATCCTGCTTCTACCTTAATTGCATTAATGGCTGATGGCATAACCATAGTAACAGCTGATGTGTGTCTATCATTGCACAACATATAACAAAATATTTCCAGGAGAAATATTTGGAGCCATTTGAGATCTGCTGTTTTTATTTCCTCCCTGCCAGATTACCTCCCACCCACAGGGTAAAACTGCTGTCAACTCTCTCAAATGCAGAGAAGCCTTTAGGAGAGATGTGTTCTGAGCATATTTAGAGTAGAGCTGAAGAGTTATTACTATATCAGATTTTTTTCTATCTTTTCCCTCTTTTTGGAAGCCTCGGGCTTTACCAGATTCTGCTTTCTTGAAGGTCAGCATGAGTGTACAAATAGAGAACTTACTAATTTTTTTAAAAAAGCATTGAATTTTCATTTTTAGATCAGCAAATATGTTCACTTAATAAAGTGAATGCAACTCTTCACCACAACCTTTCTTTGCAAACTGCACTCAGAAGCTGCCATAAGAAAAGGAGAGGTCTTCATTGCCTTTGTCTCAGAGTGTTCAGAAAGTGAATTAATCCTTGATTGTTTAGCTTGGTCTTCTAATCCAGATGACAATAACAAAGTTTTACTGCCAATCTACTGGGCACATTCTGCCTAAAACCCTATGGAAAATACTTATGTTTAGTAAACCATAAATGTATTAGACTACACCTAGTTTTAACTGAAGGTTACCATGGGGCTCTTTGCTGGAACTCCCACAGCTGCAGGACCCTGGCACAGGTCAGGACTGGCAGGGCCGTGGTGCCACAAGCAGGTCCCCAGCAGGATCCAGCTCTGGGGCCCTGCCAGCCCCCAGCACTGTCCCTGTCCTGATGCTGCTTCCCACCCCTTGGGATGGGAGTGCAGGTCCTGCCAGGCTGTGCACATGGCTCAGGGACTGTCAGCCAGGCTTAGCCCTGTTCAGGCAGCAGCCTGGCCCTGGGCAAGAGGTAGAAGCTTTTTCCCCTCTCTTCCAAGGAAGAGTGTGTGACAGCATTTCCAGGTTTCCTTTGCAGCCAGATAGGAGCTCAGGTGCAAGGCAAAGGTGAGCTCCCCGTTCATGGGGTGAGCTAAGGAGCATTTATCCCACTCTGAGGGTGCTCACAGCTTCTCCTCCTCTGCTGCTGGGCCCCACAATTCCCACATCCCCCTCTGATCAGCACTGTGCAGGAATGGCATCCCAGGCCCTGGGACTGACACCAACATTGTCCTAGCTATGAGCCTTTGCTAGCTGCCAGGTAGATATAAATTCTCAGTTTTGTTGCAGTCTCTCAGTAAGTGGAATACGCCTTAAGAAAAGATCACATTTGCTAAATTAAATTGATATGGTTTGTTACTTTTACCCAGCAGCCATTAATTGCAGGGCTACCAATGCAGTCTGGATGTATGCTAACAGTTTACAGGTTTTTTTTGAGCAATCATGTTTGATTGTAAGGCAGCCATCACAACCCACAAAACAAGCAGTCCAATTTTATTGAGAGATTATCAGTCATTTCAACTTCTTTCCCCAGAGAAAGATAAAATTGCCTTTAAAAGTCAACAACAAAATATTAAATCCCAAATTCCTGAGAAGAGAGCTGATTAGCAAGTACTTCACTGCCACAGCTATGCATAGAGTGCAGATCTTCACAGCAAAGAGCTTGCAGCTCACCCTGATTTACTCACCAGAAGTATGGGTGATGTAGCCACAGTAACCAGGGTCAGCACACCACAAATGCTGCTGTTCACTTCAATTTTCCTTCCCCCTTCTAACAAGAAATAATAGGAGGAAAGAAATCTTCTTGCTGCCGAGGTCCCACACCAAACTTACCTTCTACCAGCAGGGCAGTGCCAATGGCAAACACTTCTATTTCAGTGAAGCCTTCAGGGAGAGGGTGTGCAGTGACCATTCTTATGGTAAATATGCCAAAAGATTTAACCTCTGCCCTCTGTTATAGCTGTGGGGCTGCCTTTTCTCTGGATCTCTCTACTTCCAGTAGCCCAAGGCTTCTTAAAGGAGCAGCTCACGTGCAAACACATGCTGTTATTATATAAAAGCTTTGGGGTTTTTACTCCCACCACTACAATCCCTGCAGGAATGTTATTAATGATGGGACTAGCATCAGCCCGCACTCCCCCTTCCCCTGCAAATCGTATTTCAGACACCAGCAAAATGAAAGCATTCATGGCAATTACAACAAGTTCTTTGTCGACACAAGATTAAGAAACCTGTCCAGTTAATTTTGCAACACTGGAAAAGAATTAAATGTTGTGGAACAAAGGAAACATGTAATTGGGGAGTGACCTGAAAAACAAAGGGGCACTCATTGAGTTGATAATTAGAGGAAAAGTATGAACCAATAATTTCTGCAGCTTGCAGATCTTCCCCTCACCCACTTTTTTAGAAACTGGCCAGTGTATTTTTCTGGCAATGACTGTTCTCTATATTAACATATTTCCTTTTTGTAACTGAGGCTTAAATTAATATGCACACTGGCACAGCTTGATTAAAGACAAACACAAATTACTGATTTGGGGCCCTAAACATACAAGGACGTGAGTGAGTTGCTCAGTGGTGAGCACTGACAGGAATCACCTTACTGTTCTTTTGGAGATGTTTGGGGGCAGGAGTCTGGGTGCACAGTGGCTCTGGAGTATGTGTAGCCTGCAGCTTGTCCAGCCTCCAGCTCATTGCCTTAACAAGGTGCCACTAGCATGACAGTTGTTTCTTCATCCTGATAATCCTACTGCAAAATGGGAGCAGAAAGGGATATGAGCACAGGGGATATGAGCTTCCCCCAGCTCAGGCCCCACACTGTGCTGACCTGGCTCCCTGTTGATTGAGGTCTCAGGCAGAGTAAATTCACCCTAGATGCCACCAGAGCTTGCTCAGCCTCCTTACTACATGGTGCAGTTTCCATTTCAGGGGTGCATTTACAATCAGGGGTGTTGGTTGAGGATGGTGGATTTTTTTGCAGTTTTCATGAAATCTGTGCTTAAAGGCTGTGATGCCCAGGAGAACTGATTAGAGCTTCAAGGCTGTTGTGAAACCATCTTGCTGAGTTTTTTGATCTCTGGTATTCAATTTACAGCTCTTTTTGATGCAGGTAATTGCCTTGATGGATATGCTCTTAGATTTTGAAGTAGAATTCAGGAGGGGATGATATTTGTTAGGCTATACAGATATTTGGTTTAAGCAGAGTAAAATTACATTGCACCACATAAATCCATTGTTATGTTTGCCTTTCACTCACCTACATGTCTTGATGACAAAGAAGGTGACAGTCCTGCCTCCTAGCATGGCAAATGAATGACATAAACCTGTGTTTTAATAGTGATCCATTGTATGTTCTTGCAAAAAAATTAGTGCTAGATCTTGTAAATGTGCTGTAAATCTTCCTAGCATGATAGTTCTGAAAATGGATGGCTCATTGTAATGCTTGTCAACATAAAGCTGCACAGCTCTTCTAGACTGGGGATAAAGGACACAGATATTTGAACTGCCCTCCTGAGGCCTGGCAGGTACTTTTGGTTGCCTGCCACTGTACTTCACCTTCACTCCCAAGCATGTCTCCCAGATGTGTTACACTGCTGGGAGTTCTTGTGGAGTGTTTCAAAGCCTGTGGGGCAAACTTTGCTCATTCCAATACTATTTCTATTTTAGGCTACTACCCCAGTCCCCTTGGATTTAATAGACCTTTGTTACAATGATTATTATTAACTTTTATTATTATTAGCTTTTCTTTAAGTATCTTAACAATTTCCATGTCTAAATTTCATTTAATTTATCAGTGCAGAGTCTAATTACACAAGTAAGTCATAGGCAAACTTTCCAGTGGCAGTTCAGCATCTGACTCAAGTGAAATTAATGTCAACAGAAGCTTCCTGCATCAATCTCTTAATTTCTTTGCTGATGCTGTGTAAAGCTGACTTTCTAAGGGGATGTTGAGATAGTATGGAATGATATATGGTCCAATATGGCTGCTAACTTCAGTTATAAGCTCAGGTTGTAAATGGTTTTCTTCAGGCAAAGAGGAGGTGCAAATAAGGAATAAATTACTGACTTTGATAGAATCTTCTAATGATAGTTCTCTTTCCAGTTGGTAAAACAAAGCTGCATTCATTTCCTTTCTGAACTTTTTATGTAAGAGGTAACCTCACATCGTGTATTCCTGTGAAGTCAGGGAAAACATGCAAATGATAACAGGTTTCCCAAAGACACTCATTAACTCCGTAGTGATGAAGTTTTTTGTGATGCCTTTCTATTTTATGCACTCTTTCAATAGCTACTTGCTCTTTCTAAATTGAGGGGGAAAGGTCTTTTGCTCAACCTGATGTTATCCTAGAACTTCATAATTTGAATTCCACTGATCTCCTTTCTGCATCAATAACAGATCCATTTCCTTTTACCCTCTTGCCAAAGAATATTTCACTGGTTACTAATCTGTTTGCAAGGAATACACAGAAAAAATATATGATAGGTTCTTGCCAGATGTCCCTGTGGATTTCACAGAACTGTATATATTTGGTGGGAGCATATTAATCTTTGTAAAATATGCATTGGTACAAGCACTACAAAAAAAGGTGCAGTGCAAAGATAACAGAGTGCTCATGCACTCTGAATTTTCTTCAAGCAATCAATGCAGATTACTGACACAGTATTTTATATTCACAGCAAGAACTTTGCTAAATTGATGTGTTATTATTCCTCTGCCTTCCTAATCCTTTCTTCTGATTCAGGTTTATCCAAATTTGACTTTTTATGTTGAAATATGCCTTTAAATGAAAAATGGCAGCATTTCAGCAGAAGCAGGCTGGGAATGCAGTCACCCAGAACTGCAGTGGTATCACTGAAATGAGTGGTAATCTTGGTCCTCATGGGAAAGGCTTCTTGCCAAAGCAAGCAAACAGTAAGTGTATTGTCTGGAGACCTTCTAGTTGCAGTTGTGTAAATTTGTTTCATTCTGGTAGGGGTAGTAGAGAATATGACCCAGATTGTAAATAGGCACCTGGTGCTGCCCCTAGGAGAGATGATGCAGGGAAAAAGGCATCACACCAGTGTGTGGATGAGCATCAGCCCTCTGGAAATGCCTGCAGCCACACAATAACCCTTCTCTTCAACAGTCTGTGTAACACAGTACAGCACCCTGCTCAATCTGATTTTCTCTGCAGTTGTCTCAGAGCTGTTAGAGGAAGATGAAGTGGTGAAGGCCTGGGCAGGGCCAAGGATGCTGGGGGCAGGCAGGAGCCCATGGCTGTGCTTTGAGGAACGAGCCTGGCAGCCCAGGTGTGGTGGGGAGGGTGTGAGGGACCCAGGGCTGGAGGCGCTGTCTGTGCAGAGGAAGGTGGAGGAAAGGGCTCACTTGCAAGTACAGAGAAAGCATCAAGGTCAGGGATAATATCTGGGGAAAGCTCCTTGGCTATGCTCAGCAAAAATGAAGGAGCTCTAAACTTGGTGAGAAGAAAGCCAGGAGGGACAGCTTCAGATTCAGAGTCAGAGCAGTGCTGTGTGAAAGTCTCTTCAGAAGAGGACACAGATCCATCACCTGCTCCCCAAACATCACACATTAGCCCTGTGATTGGCTCCATGAGATGCAACACCTGGGACCTGGCAGCACTGGGACTGGCTTTCCTGCCTGCTGCTGCACCTCAGTGTTTCAAGAGTCAGAGCTTCCTGTAGAGCTTGGAAGCATTGCCTCTACTGTTTGAGTTACCTCTCCAGAGACAGGTAGCTTAATTCATTGTACATGGAATATGTAATTCATAAATATATGTATATGCACCCAGGCTAGAAAATTAATAAAGTTACTAGAATATTGCAGCTTCCAAGAAGTTGACTAGAACTGCCACAAAGGTACTCAGCCTGCAAAATCTTGGGGCTGTGTTCAGGTAAATCAGAGTAGGAAACCAGTGACTGTCAGACTGGCAAGGGGGCAGAGGGTTGGTGTGTCAAACACTGTGCTCCATCTGCATTCAGGAGCCACATAAACAATGCTGGAAGTTCTTGCATGCCTGAAGAAGCAAAATAAAACAGCCACTGTTTCCTAAGCAGAGGTGACTCTGCTGGGCTTAGACTAATACTATTAAGGTCCAAATCAGAAAAGGTGGTTGCAGTCAGCAATATTACTGCATGGGCCCCTCTGTCATGCAGCTGAGGATGCTAAGGCCAAAATTAGCCGATTTTGTGGAACTGAGGGAACTGCACTGGATTTTAGGCAATAAAGGTACAATAGAGATGTGGGACCAGGAATATAAACCTAAGAAAGCTTCACTCATTTAAAATACATCAGATATGACCATGGTATGTGCAGTCATTAAATTGGACTATTGTGGATGTGTCTGTGGGTGAGGCATCTCAGAGAATAATACTTTTTCCAGTGAGAATGATGCTGCTGGACAGACATTTATGCTGCTGTAGGTGTATGTTTTGGTAATCCCTGATAATCAGTTCTTCTGCTGCTTTCCCTCTGTGGAGGAGTTCACAAAGGGTTTGTCCCAGAGAATTTTGCTCTGGGGCCCTGAATGTCCAATCCTGGTGGAATTTTCCTGTCACTGTGGAGCCTTTGTAGAAGAAGAGTAGAAGAGCTATGGCCATGGTGACTGACCCATTCCTCCCCTAAGGTGAGGCAAGAGTTTGTGTCCAGCTTATCTCACTGGTTGCTGAGGGGCTCATTCTCCACTGGACCTGGGGGCTCTGCCCAGCCCTTCACATCTGCCTCAGCCAGGGCGAGGCCTCTGTCGGTGCCTGAGCGCAGAGGGAGCAGACAGGGAGACACCAGGGGGTTGGGTTGTATCCATCCTCTGCCAGGCTTTGCCTTCCTGGGCACTGCTGGAGGTGTGTGAGTTTATCTCCCCATGGGCCAGAGGCCAGCCCTCACATCTGCTCTTCTGCGCTGGCTGTAACAACCAC